CCTGAGAATAGCGGGCTTTGGCGTTAGACAAAACCATTTTACAATGGTTCCTAGCGGTAATAAACAGACGTCTGTTATGTAAGAAGCACATTTGTCAACAGGAAGACGAAAGATTTCTACCCAGGGGCCATCACGAAGAATATCACGGAAAGAGTCCCAGTCAGCTTTAAGGTAGTTGTAAGATGTACAATGATAGGGGGATTCTGATGGTAAAGAAGAATGAGATAATAGTTTTAGAGATACCAAACCATGATCAGAAGCACCTAAGGGTGAGTGTGGAGAAACTGAGCACTGACTAGGATTAGAAACAAGACATAAGTCGAGTAGAGAAGGTTAATGATTCGGGTTGTCTGGAAAGCAAGTTGGAATTTTGACTATTTGAGTTAGAGATTGAGAAAGGCAAAAGTTGTGGGCCTTAATGCCTGCAGAGTCACTGACACTAGAGCCAATCCATTCAGTGTGATGAACATTAAAGTCACCAACAACAACATTATTGGCTGATGGATAAAAAATGAGGGCTTGGTCAATATAATCAGAAATAACATCAAGAAGAGTGCAGTCTTGAGATGAAGGGGAGCGATATAGAACAAAGATAAAGGTGATAGAGTAAAGTGGTGCTAAATGAAAGCACATAAAAGAGTAGTCTGTGGATTCAAACCTAGTTTCCCGACAAATGGGTGAATTTTTACGAATGTAAATGCCTAGGCCAAGCATGTGACTATTGGAGTCTTTACGAATTAAAGGAAGATAACCATCAACACTAAGATTACAAGATGAGACAGCTGAGCTCAAATTAGTCTCACAAAGAGCAAGTAGGTCTGGTGAACTTTGCAAGAGATAAGACTCAACAGAAGAAACGTTACTTTGAAGACCACGAATAATGTTGAATGATAGGTTTAGCAAACTTGGTGATGACTGTGGTTTTTTGTGTTTTATAGTTTTTGTTACTTTATTCATTTTTAAATTTGTTAAAGAACTTGACTCAAAACATAAATAGTACTCAGTACACTGTTTTAAAGCCCAAGCAATTGCCTCATTTCCACTAATAAACCCTAAGCCGTAACAAAGGGCTCCAATGTGGCCTTGGCAATGCACACCAAAAGTACAAACAGGGACACCATCCATGCGCAATATGGCACTGTTAGTACTCTGATATTTTTCAGCTGTTGATGGAATCAGCTTCTCTGAGAGCTACCACAGAGTTTGGGAAACCTGACTACCAGCCAGCCTCAGAACAAGAAAAATGTATTTTAGAGCTGTACCCTCATTTGGAGATAATAGAATGAGTTGCCTAGTCATAAAAACAGAGACACAAGAAAAACCCATGCATCAAGTCAAGAAGATCCAGCGTTCAACATCCTAAACTGGAAACAATGTATTAAAAATACATCTGCGCCAGCCTAATAGATGGAGAAGGGGTGCAAGGCTGGTCAACAGATAATATCTGTTTACCCCTTAAGTCTTTGCCTAGGAGGTCTTCTACAAGACAACAGCTGGATGCATTTAACATCTGCCCAAGATGAGTATTTTTATCGAGAAACCATCTCTAGCCTTTACTCAACCAAGAGCCCCAAGGCAGGGGATGTTTTATGTTGGAGTTTGCATCTCCTAGCCTTTGCCTAAAAAGGCATATTCTACAAGGCCACAGGACATGAAGCAGATTGTACTGGGTTACATGTTACCAGTAGCAGGATAAACCTGACCTGACTGAAATATTTAAAATAAATTGTTTTTGATAAGTAAAATTGTAATTGTAACATATTATCTAAAATATTAACAATACATAAAATGTTTAATTTGATAAAAGATAAATTCTAGTTACAACATAAGAGCATGTTATTTCATTCTATCTAAAATATTAAACATACATAAAATGAGTAATTTTAATTTGATTTTAAGTATAAGCATTTGTAAACCTTACTATGAATCTAAATAAAAAATGCCCCACTAAGTAATAACTAAATTTTTAATTTAAAACATAAATTATACTATTTTTATTTTCCCTAAAAAAAATTATTAAAAATAAATGGTTGTTTTGCCCTCAAGATGCTTAAAAGATGTTTTTAGTCATTTTGATTTATATATATATATATATATATATATATATATATATATATATGTATGTGTGTATATATATGTATATATATATATACACATATATTTATATATATATATATGTGTATATATATATATATACACATATATATATATATATACATACATATACATACATACAATTTTTGTATGTATGTATATGTATATACTGTGATCATTGCCATAACCAATGATTGTGACCACCATCATCATCATGACCATGATCATTACCATGATCATGGTCATTATCATGGTAATCATCATCATCGTCATCACCATCATCATCATCATCATCATCATCATCATTGTATACATATGTATATATATATATAATATACATAATAATTATCTTGCATGTTTCGGTAGACCTAAATCATAAGTGCTGAAAATTGTTTAACAAAAAGTGTAAGGTATCTGGGGTCAAAATACAGTAATTTTTTTTGTCAAAAAAAAAAACTTTGTGTGTTACAAATTGCTAACCTTGCACTTTGTCTGAGAACATGATAATTTGCTACAATATAACAGTCTCTACGAACTATGTTCTTTAAAAAATATTTGTGGCAATTACAAATTTTTCATTGAGAAAGGTGTGGTTTTTTTTTTTTATTTTTATTTTTTTATTTTAATTCACCTCCTCAAGGCCGAGAAGGCCACTACAGACGAGGAGGCTACTTATTTGTGGCTATAACCCTCTCTCAACTCTATAACTCCGAAACACGAACCTTGACGAACAAGGCGGCTGCGCGGAGAAACGAGTTGAGCGCGGTACTACCAGGGACGTGGTGGGGTCGAACTCGGAATTCAATGTAGCACAATATGATCAATAGTTTAAGTCTTTATTAAAGGTTAAAACTGGTGACACCAGATTCACACTCAGAGGCAGCTTAGTAAGAATTTGTGAGCTTGAAATTTACATATTCATTTCACAGGCTAATGATGTATCATGTTGTCATTTTTTAGTGAAGTAATGTTCTCCTACATGTTTTTTTTCAGATGGATTCTACTTTTTGGCCAAATGTGCCAAATGATATCATAAATATTCTTAAGCATCTCTAAACATTGTATTTTCATTGTATTTAAGCATTACTAGTTGATGTTGTAGTTATATGCTAATACAATAGTGATTAAATTACAAATGATTATAAGCATGAAAAGATGTTTCCCTACTGGTGGCTATGCAATCAAGCACACATATATACACATAAGCATACATATATATACATACAAGCGCACATATATATTTATTATTACGTAGTAGTGGTTAATTTGGTACTAGCTTTGTAAATAAAAAGTTTCGAGTTCCCCTACATCCCTAGTAATAATGCACCCAACTTGTTTCTCTGTGCAGCAGTCTTGTTCATCAAGGGTTTCAAAGATAAACGGTTGGTAGAGAGTAACAAAAATTTAAAAATTTTTTTTAATTAAAGCTGTTTCTCTATGGTCTAAACTGTTTTTTTTTTGTTTTTTTTTAATTTAATAATAATGTTTCTTTAGTTATTTTTACACTCTTGAATAAAACTAAGATAAAAATGCCTTGTTGCATTTTTGAAATCACTATACCGTGTCAGGGATTATGATAAAACAAGAGGAATTACTTCAAGGATGTAAAGCACAATTGAAAAATAATAATTATTAGTTATAAATTATGCTTAATTAAACTAATAAGACTGGCTTAAGTTTTCCCTGTTTTCCCTATTTTGTGCAGCATGCGTACTTTGTATGCAAAGGCATTTAATAACACACATCACATTGACTGATCATCACTTTTGAGTGAGTTGTCACTGGTCATAACTTTTGAATGATTTTTGACTAATTTACTACAGACTGTAGTTTCTTTTTGTTTTTTTGTTTTAATTATTTTTTTTTTGTTTAAAACAAATTATATTTTGTAAAGCAGTTTTTAAAAATTTTATAAAAATTTTTAAAAATTGAATTATAAAGATAAGAATGAAAATATAGAATTTTAAAAATAAGTAGAGATATTTTTTTTGATGAATCAAAATTCACTGTCCTAAATCATAAGAACAAAGTAATTGGCTGAAGGCACCACTGACAAGTATATGGTAGTATGGTACAGTAAGTATATGGTTGTTTGATTGTACCAAAGCTACAAGTGGTTCAAAAGGATCAAATAGACCAATGTAGATACATTGACACCATTAAAAGCTATTTAATTCCTACCAAGAAGATTTATTTTGAGTGGATGTTTCAGCAAGACAGCGCTTCCTTCTGTAAGGCAAAATCTGTAACACAATGGTTTGTGCAAAACAATATTAAAGTACTTCATTGGCCTACTAGATGACCTGATCTGAATCCAATTGAAAATATTTGGATTGCTCTGCGCTGAAAACTTACCAAAGAGACATCAGCTGAAGATCTAAAATAAAATTTTCTGGTTCTATAAGAAGAATAGAGGTGGTCACATTCCTTATTAAGGTTTAGCCTAAAAACCACTTCAAAATCAAGCATGCTAAATTTATGAGCAACTTTTTATTTATTTTACATATGATAAATTTTTTTCACAAAATTTAATTCTTTCATTGTTTTTCTTTTTTTTTTTCTTTTTAGTATACTCTAAATATTCTATTAACTAAACTTTGTATTTTAAATAACTAAATTTTTTTTTTTATCTATTTTCTTTAATTTTGAAGTTCTTTAAAAAAATTTAATTTAATTCTGGTATGTGCTTAACTTTTGAGCACATATATACAAAAAAGTATATACCAAAATAAAATCATGTTTACTTTTATTTTTTTTTTATAGTTTTAATTATTAACTGTAAGTTTTTATTTTTACTGAATCTATGTTATTTTAACTTAATATAAAATTTAGTTATTTTTTTATTGAAAAATTTCCATTTATGGGGTATGAATTAACCATACAATAATATTTTTTTATATTTGCAGGCTTTTGATTTTAACTATTATTTACGAACTGATCAATTTCAATGTGCTGAATACTTTCTTGATATTATACCTCTGGTTGATATGACTAACTTGCTAGCTAAGGATTTACTTAATATACAGAAAAATCTTTTACTTTATCTGGCAAAGTTTAGAACACAAGGTTGGTTATATTAATATGATGATAATGATGATAATGATGATGATGATGATGATGATGATGATGATGATGATGATGATGATGATGATGATGATGATGATGATGATGATGATGATGATGATGATGATGATGATGATGATGATGATGATGGTGATGACGATGATGATGATAATCATGGTAATGATCATGGTCATGATGATGATGGTGGTCACAATCATTGTCATGGCAATGATCATGGTCATCATCATGGCTAAAAATTGTAGGTATGTTTATGTATATATATATATACATATATATATATATATATATATATATATATATATATATATATATATATATATATATATATATATATATATATATATATATGTATGTGTATATATGTATATGTGTATATATATATATATATATATACATACATATACATATATATATATATATATATATATATATATATATATATATATATATATATATATATATATATATATATATATATATATATATATATATATATATATATATATATATATATATATATATATATATATATATACATATATATATATATATATATATATATATATATATATATATATATATATATATATATATATATATATATATATATATATATATATATATATATATATATTATATATATATATATATGTATGTATGTATGTATATATATATGTATGTATGTATGTATGTATGTATGTATGTATGTATGTATGTATATCAGCGTGGAAAACAATTGCTGGTCAACAGTCAATGCTCACCTGAAATGAGGAAAGTTGCTATTTTAACATCTCAAAATAAATTTTTGATGGCCATGGTTGACTGATTGAAAAAAAATCATTGTTTTGTAAAACAAGATTTGACACATAATCAGGATGCAATTTGGAAAATGCATATACTTTAAATTCATAAAATCATTTAAATTTTAAAAAAATATTTAAAATAGTATTATTATTTACGATAATTCTCTTAATTGACAGTACACTGCAAAAAATGAATTCGTACTTTAAGCAAAAAAAAACTTGTTTTAAGCAATTTTTTACTTAAACAAGCAATTTTTTACTTGTCAGTATGGTAAGCAATTTTTTACTAACCAATAATTTTTTTACTAAGCAAGAAATTTTTTGCTATGCAAGATTTTTTTTTTTAATTCTTGCTTAGTAAAAAAATTCTTGCCTAGTAAAAAAATTCTTGCTTAGTAAAAAAATTCTTGCTTAGTAAAAAAATTCTTGCTTAGTAAAAAAATTCTTGCTTAGTAAAAAAATTCTTGCTTAGTAAAAAAATTCTTGCTTAGTAAAAAAATTCTTGCTTAGTAAAAAAATTCTTGCTTAGTAAAAAAATTCTTGCTTAGTAAAAAAATTCTTGCTAAGTAAAAAAATTCTTGCTTAGTAAAAAAATTCTTGCTTAGTAAAAAATTGCTTACCATACTGACAAGAAATAAAATTGTTTGTTTTAAGTAAAAAATTGCTTGAAACAAGTTATTTTTTGCTTGAATTAGGAATTCATTTTTTGCAGTGTGCACATGATATTAGAAATAACTGTTGCAACAAGCAAAAAAATCTTGTTTTAAGAAAAAGATATATTTATATCTGTACAAACAAAAATTCTATTTTTTATGATATATATATACACTATTCTATGATATATATACTTGCATACTAATTTTTAAAAATTATGTAGTCTTTCATGACTATGTGGAAATGTTTTATAAAGTCTGCTAGAATACTTTTGTCAACAAAAAAATACTGCAGCATATTTAGTTCAATCTTTTGATCTTTAGTCTTTTGTATAATCAAAATTCATTAAATAAAGCAATGCTATATCATTAAGAATGGCTTCTTATGCAACTTTTACATTAGCAATTATCGTTTGCTAAACAATTAGCATAAACATATCTCCATCCACCAATAGAATGGGAACATTTCCAGCTCTTCTGCTACACCATGCACCCGGCAAATTTGAAGGCTTTAGATTTTTCTGAGAAACACAACTAAATTATAGTTTTTTCTAAACACTTTTTCTTTTTCTAAACACTTTATCAAGTCAGTCATAAAACGTTTAGAGTCAGCACATTCAGATAGCTTCAATATCCTTCTCACTTTTTTTATTATCTGAAAAATGAAAAAAATAGAATAGTTATTAATATTATATACAGTCCTCGGAATTAGAATTCGCATTAGGTAATGCAGAATTGCAATAATGCAATAACCTGACCTCTTTCCTCAAATAAAAAATGTTTTTGCCTAAAACAGTTTATTAGCATATCAAAATTTAGAACTAAAACTTCAAAATAATCAGTACCTTAAAGAGCTGTCTAAGGCTAAAAAGTGTCTTAATTAATAGAAAATTTTGAACTTTTTTTAATTAATAGAAAATTTTGAACTTTTTTTAATTAATAGAAAATTTGACAAACATAATTTTTTAACTACTTAAATATGACTCCGATCTATTATTTTTAATTTTTATTAATAAGAGAAAAAAAAAATACACCATATGTTTCTGCGTCTGCCAATGATGGATGTGTTATGATTATTGAATTTGACTTTTCAATAAGCTCCTGCATTGTTGGCCTTCTTTTGCATTTATATAAAAAGTAGTTGCATGTTATGTATAGTGCCTCTAATAATTTTATGCACGAGTTCTTCTGGTATTAGATCATTTTTAAAATTGAAGCATTTTTAAAAGCAAGGTTTATATTATTGTCTATGTAGATTGTAAACTCCAGTGATACTAGTTAAGAAACATTGTGTTTTTACAAATTATCAGTGTTTAAATGTCAAAAATTGGTGTAGAGATTGTAACATGTAACTTTTCAAGTTGCAACTGAATACATTGCCATTAAATAGTTTTCTTTAGAACTGCTTGCAATCTTCAATCTTTAACTTATAAAGGCTTTAGTTGATTTACAACTCTAAAAAGCATATAGGACCAACTTGCATACATACAAAAATATTATTAGTGGGAAATTAAAAAAAAACCTTTTTATTTTCTACAAAAACAATATAACATTTATAATTTATTTTTATATTACCAATTCTACATACCATTAGCACGTCAAATATACTGGTTGCAGATATTCTATGTACCTACCTGTTCAGTACATAGAATGTATACATTTACATATATATATATATATATATATATATATATATATATATATATATATATATATATATATATATATATATATATATATATATATATATATATATATATATATATATATATATATATGTATATATAACCATTTTTGCGATGAATACAAAATACTACGTCTTTTTTCTCCTCTAAATTTAGCTCCCTATTTACAAATTCTACAATTTATTACTATATTCTACCATTTATATCAAATTACAAAAATATATATATATATATATATATATATATATATATATATATATATATATATATATATATACACCTTGTACAGAAAGTTTAAACACACTTGTTTTTTTAAAAGTTAAGGTATGTTTAAAGTGATACAAAGAGAAAACATGAGGCAGGGTCCAGGTTTTTTTTTTTTTAATATTCTTAGTCAATTATTAATTAAGAAAAAAACACAACTTTGAATAAGAAAAACACAAAATCTTTTCTGAAATTAAACAACAAACTTAAGTAATCAAAAGATTACTTAGAAGAAAGTGCAATAAAGTTTAAACGCACCTACAACTTCTTTTAATCGAAATATATTAATACGGAATATGACCCCCGTTGTTTTTAATACATGCTTGTATTCGCCTTGGCATTGATTCGATTAAGCTTTCAATTATCTTGATTGGTGTTTCAAGCCACAGTTTGGTCAGTTCTTGTTTGAGCATTTCGTGACTAGTTATTTGCTTTTTTGTTAGTTGATAATCCATCCAGCTCCATAAATTTTCAATTGGGTTTAAGTCTGGTGATCGTGCTGGCCAAGGCATAAGTTGAATATTACTTTTAAGGAAATAATCAGTGATTGAATGCGCTGTATGGCATGGAGCATTGTCTTGTTGAAATAACCAGTTTTGATCAGCCTGGAACAAATCGCGACTAGGGATAAGCGCGTTTTCCAAAATGTCATGATACTCATACTGGTTTAATCTTCCTTTGTATATTTTATGACAGCCAACGCCTGAGCCTGATATACATCCCCATATGCCGACGGAACCACCGCCTTTTTGAATAGGGCTTAATAGGTGTTGCTTCAAATATTTTTCTGTATTTTTGCGACAAACAAATCTCTTGTTTTTTCTGTTTATAATTTCGAAATTTGATTCATCACTAAAGATAATCATTTTCCATTATTCTACTGAATAATTTAAACGCTCTTTGCACCATTTTTTTCGTCTTTGGCGATCGGTTAACGTCAACAAAGGCTTTCTTACACAATGAAACAAATTTAATTCTTTCTTGCATAATAACTTACTTATAGTCATTCGACTAACTGTTTTGTCTACTAGTGAACTATTGATTTCTGCTCTTAAAGTTGATACTCTCGCTTTTTGGTTACGTCTGCTTAGCATGTAAAGCATGTTTTCATCGCGTGCTGTCAGTTTTTTCGGACACCCAGTACGAGGTTTATCATTGACACAGTTGATAAATAATTTTTTATGGTTGACCGAATGCTGAATTCAGAAATATTTAGGTGTCTGCCAATTTCTCTATTGCTTATTTTCATTTTATGCATTCCAATGACTTGCCATTTTGTTTTCGGCGAAACAGCTTTTTTACCCATTAAAATATGATATTTTGACAAAGCTGTATCAGTTGAAAATTGCTATATTTTAAATCAAATCGTATTTGTGGTTTTTATTCAAAAAAAATAAGAATAAGAATCCAAATGTAATATACTAACTTTAACAGGCTGTTGAGTGATAAAAATGTAAAAGACTTTAATAAAAAATCTCTCAATAAACGAGTTTTACGCGTTTTCTTATCAAAGTGCGTTTAAATTTTATTTCAAAAAATTGAAAGAAGTTAATTGCTTCGTTAATTTTCTCATCACTCTCCACCTCCGTTATAATATCCATATAATTTTTTTTTTAATCTAAACTAATAACTTATAGCCATAGGCTATAAGCCCCATTTTCTCTGTTCATGTAATGAAGTGGCTGGTGCTATTGTATTAAAAAAGATTAAGTTCTATATAATAGAGACTAACTAACCAATAAGGAAAATTTTCATAACCATTTTGGGGTTTCTAACCAACATCATTAATTTTTAATTAGAATTTATTCGTGAGTGGTTTTTTCATCCAAATTTCAGTTTCCTTCAAACTAAATAAAAAAACTTTTAAAACTTGGATGAATGTCTGATAAATTGTTTATAAATAGCTCTAAAGTTCACTTTAATACTAAATTTCTATTTAAGATTTTAAATGGATAGCATTTTTAGAGAAATATGGTTCTATTGACTATTAATTAGTTTAATTAGTTTATTCAAATAAATGTTTTAATAAGCAGGGGCTTAATGCCCCCTGTTAATGTCAATTGTTTAAAAAGGTGATTAAAACAATCAAATAACATTGATCGAATAAATAAAATTCATGTTTTAATTTTATAAACATTACACAGATATAGTTTAAATTGAAAACAAAAGTTATTTATTTGTAGAAATTTTTCTTTTAATATAGTTTTGATAATGGAGCTTATTGCCCCCTTTATTTAGCAGAATGGTTTGGACATAAGAATAAGAAAGGAGGCAGTAAAATCTATGCAACTAGCCAGACAATGACAGATGCTTACAGTTCTGCTATATGTAAGCAGATGTCTGCTAAACAGGAATCCAAGCACAATTAAAAGTACTTTCTAGCACTAGTGCTCACAATGCTTATGCCTCAACATCACTACTATATATGTATATATATATATATACATATATATATATATATATATATATATATATATATATATATATATATATATATATATATATATATATATATATATATATATATATAATTTCCATTGAAATTTAATAAATTCGTTTAAACAAATTTATTATATTTCAATAACAACCTTTTTTAAAAATCGTTTTTTTTTAAACAATAGTTTTCTGAAAAAATATTTTTTTTAAAATGTTTTTTAAGAAGTTTCCATTTTACAAGGTTATCGGTAACCCGTAAAACCAATAATTTTATCAACTACCAAAATTCTGGTTACTTTGCACTTACAAAAAATGTCTTATGTTCTTATATTTTATTATCTTATATTAAAAACTTGTATTTTTTTCAAGGTAGTTCACAATGCACAACATTATAAAAATAAGAAAAACTTAAATGCACGCGTTTGTAAAATTTAATTTCTGTAAATTAAAATATATAAATAAATGTGATTAAATAATATGAAAAAGTGGTTTAATAAAACATCTAAAAGTATATGGTTAGTTATGTCGGTCTTTTAAAAAAATTTTAAGCAATTGTTATGTCAGTGCTTGATGCTAAAATTTTTTTGCAAGCTGCTTTGCAAATTTTGTTTTAGTAAACTCATCTATCAAAAGTTCATCCTATAGTTCTTTAGTATTTAGTTAATTTTTATATAATGAGCTAATAATTTACATTTAAACTCAACTTTGGCAATGAAATATCGAATTATGCATAGTTTTCTATTTTTTTATTTGCAAAACAACCACTAAAAACTTTTTTTCCTGACATTTTTGTCAAGTATATGCCAAGCAGGTAATATTTTTTTCTGTTATTTGCTTTTTTGCAGCCTTAAACAACTTGTCTCACAACCCCCAAAAGTCGTTCTGCGTAGAGTTTATTAGGAGAAGCTTTTAATGCAATATATTGTATCGTATATGTAGATTTATTTACTTTCATTTATATTTGAGTTATTATACCATTTCAAAGTTTCTGTTGAGGTTTAATTCTAACAAAAATATGTGTTATAGTTTATAAAAATAATGATATTTTTAAGAAAGAAATTTGTTTTTTTTTATTACAAAAAGATGGATAACTGCATAATATTAAAAAAAAACTAGCGACTTTACTTTGAAATTACCATAATGGAGACAACCCATTTTTTAAATAAGTTTCAAGCATATCATGTAAATAGTCTGGTCTACCAAAGTTAAATTTTGCTCGTATAATAGTCTTGTAGACTTGTTTTTTATGTGATAAAAGACCTTGATCACAATAAAAATTTACCCGCCTTATTTTATACAGATGATTTATTAGAAGAGCATATGAAATGTAGGAAGGCGCTTCACAAATAGATTTTATGCAGTTACTTTATACAGTTATTGTAATAAGAAAAAATAAGTTATAAATAAAAAGTTTTATTTTTTAATTATGTACTTATATTTTTTTACTTATTTTAAAAGTATATATATACTAAGAATACAAAAGTAGAGAATATAAAAATAGAAGTTTTAAAAGAGAAAAGTAAAAATATATTAGTTCTTGTTTCAAGAAAAAATTTAATTGAAATTTAGAGTGAATATAAAATCTTGAAATATAAAGTAAAATTCTTCTTAAAACAAGATTTTTTTTATACTTACTAAGTAAAAAATTGCTTAAATTCTTATTTACGTAATTATTTACTTAAAACAAGTAAAAGTTTTAGTTAAAAGTTTTAGGTAAGAATCGAACTTTTTACTTATAAGTAAAAACTTGCCTAAATTCTTATTTTAAGTAAATTTTTTCTTGAAACAAAAATTTTTATATTCTTATTAAGTAAAAATTACCTTAAATTTTTATATTAAGTAATTATTTTCTTAAAACAAGTAAAAAATGTTCTTGGCAAGAATCTGATTTTTTGCAGTGTATTATATGCTCTAAACTCTATCTATTAGATTACTTTCATTTGACTATAAATCTAAATCCTTTTTTCATAAATGATTAAAAAATATTCAATATATTCTTTTAATTTTACCATACAGTAGTTGTTGTATTTAACTAAAAACATTTTTTCTTTCAACTGTATTTAGTCACTTAATTTTGCTTTTTTCTTTAAATCTTTTTTCTTTACTTTCTTGTAAGTTTTTCCTGCAAATTGTAATAAATGATTGAATGGTTTAATAATTTTCTATATAAATTTCTATACAATAAATTTTCTATATAAATTTCTATATAATAAATGATTGAATGGTTTAATAATTTTCTAAATAAATTTCAAATTACCAATTGCACATTTGCACTTTTTTCAATAATATAATTCTTAAAAAAATGAATGTATTTAGTAAAAGTCTCATTTTGTGTAAGATTTTATATATTGAATATCTTTTTTATAGTTTGAATAGTATCTACGCATAAAGTTAATAAGATTATTGTTATCTGATTTTCAGTTTTGAAAATAATTTTAATGAACAGAGATATAAAATGTGCAATAATTTTTCTTCCTTTATGTTGTTAGCTTTAAAGATTGAATTTTTAATATTTTAAATATTTTAATGCTTTAAGTATTTTATTATTATTTGAAGTTTTTGTATGTAACTAAAAAAGAAGATTTTCTCTTGTAACTAAGAAGATTTTTTCTTCAAACTGTACAATGTTTTTTTTATTATTATTATTCAATATGTTCATTTATTTTTTTCATAGCATTTTCTGCCAAATGTAATGAAGTCAAATATATATATATATATATATATATATATATATATATATATATATATATATATATATATATATATATATATATATATATATATATATATTTGACAACATCCTTTAAAATATACTATTGAGGTTGAAAACAAAAATAAGATACTTAACTTTTTGGATATAACTTTTATTAATAATACACAAGGAAAATATGAGTTCAAGGTTTACAGGAAGGATGCTATATCAAATATCCAAATCAAACCTCATTCTAATCACTATCCCAAAATTTTAAAAGCAATATTCAACGGATACATACACAGAGCATACTCAATATGCAGCGAAAACCATTTACAAGATGAGAAAAATTTTTTAATTCAAGTGTTTACTGAAAACAGGTACGATGAAAAAATGCTTAAAAATATTTCTTATCAGGTTCGAAAAAAATGTTTAGCAAACAAAAATGAAATTCTATCAAACTCTAATAACCTTCATACAATATCTTTACCATTGATACCAATATTATCTCCCAGACTTAGAAGAATATTCAGAAAAGCTGGTTACAGAAATGTTTTACCACGCAACAGCAGCCCAGGAACCTATTTAATTAAGTGCAAATGCTCCAAAGTGTGCGTCAGTGAAACAAAACTTCAAATACTAACAAATACAAAAGCCTAAATTTTTGACTTAAGGCAAGTTAAAACAGTCTTCATTAGCTTTGCATAAAGTAAATTGCAATGAGGACATTGAATGGAATAAAGTAGTAACACTTAAAGTTGAGGATAAAAAATTTGAAAGAAAAGTGAGACCTTAAGAGAAGATACAAAAACATCAATGTTCTCCAATGTACGGTGGTATGAATTTGGACAGCTGACCTAACTTGCCGACCCTGTTTCTAGGTTTTGTGGTAACCCCTTTGTGTCAAATCTTTTTTGCCAACCTAATGCAGATCTCATTGTTCCTAATTCTTTGGGTTGTATATAGGGGAGAGGGGGGTTGGTTTTCATGCAGGGTTGGTTGTCACAATATTTAAAAACAAGTTTTTGGACTACATTTTTTACATACTTAAGTAAAAGAAGACATTATAAAGGTGACATCAAAATTTAAAATTTTTGTTGTTATTTAACGGTCACAGTTTGTATAATTATATTATATTATATGCTGATGATGCCAGTGCCTATAATCCGGCAAAAATTTCAAATAAATTATTTAGTATTGAGAGAATTCGTATTATCTGATGTTTTAAATTAGTTTATACATGTATATATATGTATGTATGTATATTTAGGGTTTATTGGTTTATTGGTAACAAAGGCAATGGATGTTATGTATAAGTTTGTTTATGCAACAAAAGGAATTATGAACCAAGATACTTTGATGAATATTACTACAACTTTGAATTACATATCAGTTAATCTCTTAACTGTGGGTCAAGAGATAGATTCAATTAAAATGGTATACTTATTTTTAAGTTCACTTAAAATAGTTAAACATTTAAAGAGTGTGAATTTAAAATTTTTCTTTTTTTTTTTGAACACAGTATTTTTTTGATATGTTGATAATTTTTTCTTATTATCTATTTAGACACAACAGTTAGTTGATATTTTAAACACTTTGGTAAATTTTCCTGACAATTTAAAAGTTATACTTTCACAATCTCCAAGTATTATTAAGGGGTTTTTAAATGTAGCTGGAAGTAACTATGACAACCAACAAGAAAGTTTTTATGGAAGTTTTATAAGTGGACTTTTTACTTTGGAACGTTTTCTCCTAGAGACATCATCAAGTGTAATTACTTTAAATGATAATTTGAGAAACAAATATCAAAATTGGCAGTGCCAAAATAGTTATCCATTTAATTGTACTGGTGTGCTTATTGTCCAAGCTCAATATGACTATGTAAGTTTTAATTGCCAAATTATTATTTATGTTTTTCAATAATTGCATATCAGTTCAACATTTATTAAATATACTATCCATTGTATTGCTGATTACACTAAAAAAATCACATAGTGTAAGTGAAAGACAGTAATCAGATAAAAATACAATTTCAAATAATAGAATAATAACTACTTTATTAGTAATTGTTAATATTTTATATATATATATATATATATATATATATATATATATATATATATATATATATATATATATATATATAATGTAAATTGATTTTAATAAAAAGGCATCATATAACTATTTTAAAATATATTTTGATGTAAAAATATATTAACGATATTTCGCTGATCTTTTGTGGTCAGCATCATCAGCTAATAATAAAACGTTACAAAATAACATATAACAAACCATTTAAAAAGAAGACATTAAAAGCGTCAAATATATAAACCAATTAAATAATATACTAATGACGTCAGTTAAATTTTTGTCAAAATGGGTCCCCAAGTTCGTGTTTTAACCTTATCTCCGTCATCTCGATTTAGAACACCTTTCCCAATCTCATATCGAACTTTTGCTTTGTTAATCTCCAGGGATTCTCTAATTTTTTGTATCCTGTATTTTTAAATAACTGCCAAGGTCTTAGGATTTAACCAATCAAAGTTACCACGGCATGTTCTAGAATGTTCGGTGGCTCCTGAACTTGAACATTTTTGATTTTTGCAAGCTCTTTGGTGTTCTGCACTTCTTGAAATGATTTTCTTTTTGGTCTCACCAATATATATATTTCCGCATGAGCATTTAAGTTGATAAACTCCTGGATTTGAGTTCGAAGGTAGTTTTGTTTTGTTGTTGCATATGTTATTTAAATTGGTAGCTGAAGTAAATACAACTCTGATGTTTTGTTTTTTAAATTCTCTTCGGAGTTTTGGGCCAATAATAGGTATCCAAGGTAGTTTAACAAACTTTTGATCTAATTGATTAGATGTAGTGTTTTTTGAAATGCCGTCTAAATAGTTTTTGGTTATTTTAATTAGATTATTTTTGTTATAGCCGTTTTCAAAAAATGTATTTATGAGGAAATCAATTTCTTGTGAGAGATATTTTTGATAGCAGATTTGTTTTGCTTGACATAAAAAACCTTTAAAGATGCCAGTGGTTATGCTTGGGTTGATGTTGGAGTTTGGTTTTATTTGAACATTTGCTATCGCATCCTTATGGTTTACTTGAAATTCATAAAATCCATTCATTGTATTTTTCATACAAATATCTAAAAAATTAAGTTGTTTTCTTTCGTTTTCAAGCTCTTTGGTATATTTTATGGAGGGGTTTTGTTCATTTAAAGCTTTAAGAAATAATACTTGCTTTTCTTTTGAATCAAAGCGAGCATGGCTATCATCCACATATCTTTTGTAAGTTATTGGTTGGAATGAACTAACAAAGGCTATATCAAGTGCTCTTTTTTCTATACTTTGCAAAAATGCTTCAGCTATGACTACCATCAATGACAAACCAATTGGACCTGAATTAGGTAAAATTCGGATTTTATCTTCGTATAAAAAGTAACATATGCTTAACGATAGTTTAATTAATTGGAATTAATTAAACTATCGTTAAGCATATGTTACAAAGATTATTTAAAAAGTGCCAGGTATTAATAGAAAATTTAGAATTAAATTTTCTATTAATACCTGGCACTTTTTAAATAATCTTTGACTCATTTTTAGTAGATTTTAGGCCTATTTGGTTTTAAGTTTTTTGGTTATGGATTTTTATAAAATAATGCTTTTATCATATATATATTTTTTAATCATAGGCTGCTATCAGGGTACAAAATATCCTCACCTTATTTGAATGATCTGCATTTTGTTTTGTTTTTAAAAACTAATGCAGATCATTCAAATAGGGTGACGACTTTTAATGTTTATGGTTTTTTGATACCAATAAATACGCATTTAGCTGTGCGTGAAACATCTTACTTTTATATATAGATATCTAGATGATGATGATGATGATGGTGATGATGATGATGATGATGATGATGATGATGATGATGATGATGATGATGATGATGATGATGATGATGATGATGATGATGATGATGATGATGATGATGATGAAGATGATGATGATGTTAATGACGATAATGATGATGATTTTTTTAAAGATAATCTTATTTCTTTCTTTTTCTTTACTTTAAATATAGAATCTATTTCCCAATACAACCTTTGGTGAAGATTGGACACCTGTTTCTGACGTTTATGAATTGGCCCTTTATAATCCTGCTACATTTAATCTACTTAGTACTGATAATGATCCGGATAATTTTTATGAAACCTCACTTCTTTTGAAAAATAAGGATATAGAGTTAAGTAATATCAGTAATGTCCAGGTGAGTAACAGTTATCCAGGTGACAATTTTTTTTAATTGATTTAATAAATTTTTTAAATTTTTTGTTCAATAGCATGCTCACACACCTATATTTAGTATGGCATGCTTTCCATTACACACCTATATCTTTTTTACATATAAATCTTACTCTTGCACCAAAGTTTTTTAAACTATTTTTAAAGTGTTTTTTTATAAATTAAAGATATATATACATATATAACAACCCTCAGAATTAGGGTCAGCATTCAGCAATGCTGACCTAACTTGCTGACCCTGTTTCTAGTTTTTGTGGTAACCCCTTTGTGTCAAATCTTTTTTGCCAACCTAATGCGGATCTCATTGTTCCTAATTCTTTGGGTTGTATATAGGGGAGAGCGGGGTTGGTTTTCATGTGGGGTTGGTTGTCACAAATTTATTACAGGAAACGGAGATGAGGTTTAGAACTTTAAAATCATACAATGGAAATGTTATAATAAAAAAAAACATTTTTACCATAATTTTCAGCTTTTTTTAGCGTGTAGAAAAAAAGTTATTTGTTTTTATAGGTTTTTGATTTCACTCACTTGGAAATTTTCTTTTACCAAACGAAAATTATTTTATTGTGCTTTAAATGTTCATTTTTAAAGTTTTTTATCCATTTGAGTAACTTAATCCACAAAAAATTCTTATGAAATTCACACACTTTTAGGTAAATTTACACGTGTCTTGCAACTTACATAGAAGGGGTTGCTGGTAAATAGTGTTCTTCATCCAACAATTTATAAAAGTACCATTTTTAAAAACACTTATATAGTACTAAAATAAATGTTTTTATAGTGTTATATTAAAAAAAAACATTTTTCGGTATATAGTATTTTCTTTTTTTTAGTATATAGCTTTTTTTTTTTTCAGATTATTCAAATTTATTCTTCGAAAAGGTCTCCAATAAATGATTATACAGCAAAAAATGCTTCACTCAATGTGACTAAAATATTGCAATAGTTACCGGAAATAGTTAAATTACTTTCATTCAAAGTTTGGCATTGATTTGATGAAAAATAAAAGTTGAGTAGTCTAGAATGTAAAAAGTTTGACAACCATCCCCGCTCTTCTCTCTTTCTCTCTCTCTCTCTCTCTCTCTCTCTCTCTCTCTCTCTCTCTCTCTCTCTCTCTCTCTCTATATATATATATATATATATATATATATATATATATATATATATATATATATATATATATATAATATATATATATATATATATATATATATATATATATATATATATATATATATATATATATATATATATATATATATATATATATATATATATATATATATATATATATATGTATATGTATATAAGGCATGCTATCGGAAAAATCTGCCCACCTTTTGCGGCGTGGTAAAGCTAGTTAACGGTCGTTTTTTGAAATTATTTTTTGTGTGTGGTAGTGTTTGTATAATAGAACATTTTGGCAGAAAAAAATAATTGAAAATATTATTTAGTTTCAAAATGTCAACCGAGCAAACTAAACAAAGATTTTTGATTGTGGACAAACACTTAAAAAATCTAACTTTATCGAATAGAAAGTTGGTTAAATGATTAAAAATATCAAGAAGAACTGTAGATACTGTTCTTAAACGGTTTACAGAACAGAAAACTATTCAGAGAAAACAAGGAAGTGGTCGAAAAAAACGCACAGCAAATCCTAGAGCTTTCGAATGGTTGGAGACTTCATTGGAAGAACATCCTGATTGGTCTGATAGATTTCGAGCAAAAAAACTGAAGGTTTTCAATTTTTTTGTACACAAATGGCGACAGAGATTTGGATATCAAACTTTTAAAGTAGTTAAAATACCAAATCGCAACAATAAACAAAATTCAACCGCAAAGAGTTAAGCTCGAAAGTTGTATGATAACTTTTCAACAAAACATAATGGATGCATTTTGATGGATGGCGAAACTTATGTTAAAATGGATTTTAAACAAATTCCTGGGCAGTGCTACTATGCTTCTAAAATAAAAGGAAATATGAGTGACAAATACAAGTATGTAATGACTGATAAATTTTCGAAAAAATTGCTGATTTGGCAGGCACTTTGCTCTTGTGGCAAAAAATCGCCAATTCATGTTTGTTTGGGCACAATGAAATCTTCGGAATACGTGAAATGTTGTCTTTCTTGTATAAAACGACTAATTAAAGCTCATAGGAAGTACTTCAGTATTGTTTTGGCCTGATTTAGCCACAATACATTACTCAAAAGATGCTCAAAAGTTTTGCGATGATAATGGAGTGGTGTTGGTTCTAAAAAAGATGAATCTCTAAACTGCCTTGAATTACATCCTATTGAAAAATATTGGGCCATCATAAAAAAGAAATCGAAATTAAGTGGAAAAACAGTAAAATCAGCTACAGATTTGAAGAAAAAATGGGATTACGCTGCTAAAACTTACAAAAATCACTCTGTCCAGAAACTTATGGGAGGCATCAAAAAAAAAAGTCAGAATTTTCTGTAAAACTTTTGTTTTTTTCCTAATAATATGTAATCTTTACAGTCTTAATTTTTCAGAAATATATTGATTTAAATACATTTAAGCTTTCTTACATTCTTTTTTGATCAAGAAAGGTGGGCAGATTTTTCCGATAGCATGCCTTTGTGATTATTAGAATTTTTAATGGCTACAAGAAAGTTTTATTAAACTTAGAGACTTATATGATAATATTTTTAAATCAAACGATCTTTAGTTTCTAGTATATTGTCTTTTAATAAAAATTTTGAAATATATATAACATATATAATATATAAATATATAACATATATAGCATATATAACATATAAAACATATATATAATATAACATAAAATATTTTGAAATGTATACTTTTATTTATAATAATATTTTTAAATGAATTAAGTTTAATAATATTATTATCAAATAATAATATATTCTAATAGAATAATATTAAATATAAATATATTATATTTGTTACTAATGTAAATACTGTTGTAATAGTTTGCACTTGTTGCATAATAGCATATATAGTGGACAATTAAGAATATTTTATTTGATCCATATTAATAAAAATGATTCTTTTTCTTTTTTACTAGTGCCAAGTTTATAATCCTGTTCTTAAAAAGTTTGATCCAACCCTATGCTATTATTTTGCGTATATGGATAATAATCATGCCTTATGTAGGTGTAAAAGTTTGGGGAAAATGGTTGCCTTATATCAGCCAGGGGCTTTTCCTACAACAGAATCACCTATTATAGGTAAATCATATGTTTTAAATTTTTAGTATGTTTATATTTTTTCTTTTTTAATGTTTTTTTTTTTTTTCTTTTTTTTTTTTTAGATCCTACTTTGACTTACATCTTTTATTTTCACATGGATTATGACCCATATTGTTTGGCTTTAACAAAAAGGAAATCTCTCACAAATAAATTTTCATACCAACTTCAACAATATATCATTGCAAAAGGTTTATTAGAATGGCCAAAGTTAAAGTTGGGTCTAAGAAGAAGCAGATTGGTTGTTGTTGATTGTTTTGATGGTAGAATGAATTTGATTACATAATTTTATTATTTTATTGTTTTTTTAATATTTTATATCATTTAAATTGAATTTCTTAATAAAAAATATACGAGCTTTGGAATTTCTTTTTATGTTTGTAACATTATTTTAAAACTAATGCTAATGTTAATCATTTTAAAATGCTAACAATAGTCCAGACTATTGTTAGCATTTTAAAAGTGATGTCAGTGTCCTTCCAAAACTCAAATCCTTAGTTAATGTACATACTGAAGTCTCTACAGCTTTCTGTAACATCAATTTGTATTAATATATTAATTAATTATATATTAAATATATAATATAATAAATATATTTATAGGTGCTTACTTTTGCGGGCTTAGTTTGGCACTGTCCTAACAGTTTAATCCAGACAGAAATTTAGGCAAAAGAATAATAAAAATACAAAATGTTTTTATTGTAATTTGATTGTACTGCTCAAACTCTAAGTCAATGTATGTACTGAATCCCCCACAGATAGCTACTGCAAAATGATGTTATCTGTAATATGTTTCAAACACAGTAGGAATTAAATTTTTTTAATTTAAACCCTATTTTGAAATCTTGTTCAACCTAATTAATTAATTTACTGAGAAAATCAATTATTTGCACTAAAGTTATGAAAAAAATATTTTAAATGCAATTTGCTAAAATAAGAAGATAAAATGCATGGTAACTGAAAGGTACCTAATAATGAAAGTAATAATTATTCTAATATTAATAACATTAATAAAAATAATAATGATGATAATAATAATAATAATAATAATAATTATATATATATATATATATATATATATATATATATATATATATATATATATATATATATATATATATATATATATATATATACTCATATAGATCATTATAAGCTACATTACTACTGTGTTAATAGTTGATCAAGTTGAATTTGTTCATTAAATAAAATTCTTGTTTTCAGGACTTGGTAATGCACCAAGCAATCCTTTATGAATTAAATCCAGTATTCTTTTATATATGCAGTCATGGACAGGAAAGGCATGCGATCTTACTCGATACTTGACCACGCATATGATTATTGTTTTTGAAAGCTTGATTGTGGCTTTTTAATGCTTCAAAAACATGCTGAAAAAACCTGACAAAAGAATGAAAATTATAAGCAAGCTTAAACAATAAAAAAAGAAACAAAATCTTAATGAAGGAGAAGTTAAAAAAAATTAATTAAAAACTAACTCTAAAAAAAGTCAACGATTATAAAGCTGAAAGTTTAAAACTCTAATAGAAAATTATTTAATTATGCTTATAATTAAGTTAAGGTTAAATGTTAAGAATATCTTTAGAACTTTGATCTAATGATTTTATAATAAAAGGCAAACTCTTGTAATGTTTTTGTGATATTAGGCAAACTAATTAAATGGAAAATTAATCATAAAATAAAATCATTCATAAATTATATTCAAACAATCATAAACTGCACAATTTTTTTAAATAAATATATATATTTTTTAAATACTCTTTTTTAATTATATTTAATGTTTTTTATTTAGTGTTTTTATACTAATAAGGTACCATAAATAAATAAATTTACAAAGCATTATAAAAAATAACTTTGTTATGTTTTCGACTATTAAATTTATGTATTCAATTAAAAGTTTATTGAACAATTATTTTTGTAGTTGTAAAATTAATTGTATAAATTTTTTTTAAAACATTTACATTTGTCATAAAAAATACTCTTTTTAACTATATAATATTGATAATTTAAAATGATAAAAGAAAATGTTTTTTATAGTACACAATCATTAAAAGCAGTTTCTCACTTTATTACTTTGTTTCAGCACATTTTTAAAACGTTTTCAAAAATCTAAAAAGCTGTGGTTAAGTTGTTGCAAAAACAAATTAGAAATGTGGTCAGGAATAGCGTGCAATCACACGCTTTTCTGTCCATGACTGCATATGTGATGGCAACCAGCCGGGTGAAAATAATTTTTTTCTAAAAGATTTTTTAGTTAAATCACTTTTATATCAAATAAAAGTTACTAGCTCAGTTTTAAATTCTCTCACCTGTTGTATTTGTTATTACTGGAATTTTAGCCTTTTTTCTTAGACTTTTTTGCTAGATAATAGAACAACTGTTTCTTTATTTTAATTTTTGAAATCTTAAGTAAGTTAGCCACACCAATATCGAGCTTCCTAACTTTTTCCCCTGTTATTCATGTACTTTTAATTGAAAAAGTTGTTTTTTCCAGTGGAACTCTGTATGTTGGCCAGCTAGTCAATTTTATCTCTTATAGTTAAAATAATTTTTCTTCTAAATATTGAGTAGACTTTTTTTCTTTTGTTACTAAATTGTAATAGTATTTAAAGAGATCCCGAATTCCCAACACATGTTGTATTCATATTAAAGATAATGTTGAAAAAAAAGGTTTGAACCAAATTTTTTTTGATTAAAAATAAATAATGAATGCATACCAAGAAAACTAATCTTGTTGTTTTAGCCAGAGCTTGCCCTCTTCATTTTACTAAAAAACTCAGAGTCTTTAAATTATACGTCACAATCTACAGACTTTGGCGATTCCTTTGAAGCGCGTTTAATTCATAAAAGTTTTAGTATTTGACGTCACGGTAGACTTTTGACAAATGAAACTCTGGAAAAAATTTTGTTTATTTTTATTCATAATTTTTTTCATTATTTGTTTAATTATTTATTTTATACTTTTAACTTTAAAAAAATATTAAAAACCTTAAATACTATATGCTGGTTTGGTTGATATAAATTGTTATTGCGCTATATTTAATGTTAATAAATATGAATATTTATTATCTGAATCAGGATTCTGATAAAAAATTGTTTAATATTAATTACCCGTGTAAAAATTTAAATATTAACTTGAACTAAACTTACTTATTATTTAGAACGACTAAGCAATAAATAAAAAGCCCCTTAAATTTTGCAATATTGTGTTGTTTATTTGATTATTATTGTTGGTAATGTTGTTTATGTTGATTTATTTTTATCAATATCAAAATAGTCCCAGATTGGACTGTTAGTTACTTTGCTCATTGTTGATTTATTTCTAATTTAATTTTATCTCTAAGTTTAATTCTATGTTTAGAAAGAAAATTTTTTATTTCATCACGCACTCTTTTTATAAAAGAGAAGAACAAAAGAGAAAGAAAAGTTTTTCTTAATTAAACTTTGAATGAGTAAGAGTTGTATAGAATTTTATTTTTTGCGCCACTCGTTCTTTTTTTTAGATAAGAGAAATAAAAGTTTAGTTGTAATTTTTCTTTGAATAAATGGGAATTGGATGAGAAAATTGCTTGAAAACTTGTAAATGTCAATTTTGTTCGTTTTTTATTTTTCCATGTTAAGAGACAAATGCTAAATACAACACATAAATTGGGAAACACCAAATATAATATGTTTTTTAATGGGCGTTATAACATTTTGACAATTTAAATTACCATCTATCTTGAATTATTGCCATTATTTAATGTGTTAATTATTGCGTTAATTAATATTTGTCTGTATTTTTGTTAAATGTTAATTGTATAAAACGGGCAAAAATATACGTACTTTATGTTTTTAATTTGATGGTTATAAAATATTGAGCAGTAAACTTATAATCAAAATTTATAATGCCGACTTGTGCTGTTATTGATCGTACTTGTAATGTAAAACCAGGATCTCACATATCTTTTCACAAATTTTCATATCTGATATTACTGTCAACTGTATTATTTAGTGTATTCTTGTACTTTTTTTTCATAACTTTAACAGGTTCTAATTGGTTTGGAGTTGCTGACATTTTAAATGTTTCATTATCAAAAATCAAATGCAAAATATAATGATATTTCCTTTTTATCCATATCCAATTTAGCAAAAATAGCAATTTAAATCAAATCAGCATAATCTAAAAATTTTTATAATAAAAAAAATTTAACAGTTCATCAAATGTCTCTGATTAATATTATCAGTTAATGAAAGTAATTGTTAATAAATACTTTTTTTGACAGCAAAACAAAAAATGTCATAGCGTAAAAATGAACAGAGTGGTTGGAAGAAAATTAAATTAGCGTAAAAGAAAAACAACATTCCAATACCACGATAGATATAACCAGTAAATAGCGCCAATATGGTTATAACAAACTAAATAAAAATTATATGGCCACTATTTGCACTCTAGTATTTTTTTGTTATTGAACGTAATTTTTGTATAAATAGAGTTTTGTTGTTGTTGATTTTCAGATACAAAAATATAAAGAATATAAGTGATGTAGTTAATGTAAAAACGGTTAAGATCTTAAAAATATAAGTTATAATACATATTTGGTATTATTTGTGATCGCCATCGGATCATAATTGGTAGCAGAGAGTAATTTCCTCAACACGGAAGAATGGTAAAAAGAAAAAATCAAAAATCAAATAACAAAATGGAAGATCAGTTAACTTTTCAAAACGAATTATCTGCTTTGAACATGAAGAAAATAGTTATAAAGTCTTTGTTTACGTGAATTAAACATCAAATTGTAAACAGCAACTTGGAGACGATGAACCCACTTGTAAAAACGAGTTACACGAATTGAGTAATCAATTAACAAAAACTCAAAACGAAGCTCTCAAGATAATAGTTGAGTTATCAAAGAAATACAAACTTCTGGAATCAAAAGAAAATGTAGGAAAACTCAATAAAAAAATTGAAAAACTAAATGACGAATTTGTGGAAATTATGGAACATGTAAATGAATGAATATTGCGCAATGAAAGTTTAAAATCAAGTTTAAAACAACAAAGGATGGAAAAAGAACTTAAAATGGAAACAAAAAAGCAATGTTATCAATGATTAAGTACTCAAAAAAGTAATGACCAGTATGATGATAATAAAGAAGAAAATGGGAGTAGGGAAATGGAACCAATCAAATCAACCCATATCATGCGTAAAATGGAAAATGAAATAATTGATTTGGATCAAAAGACTCCAAATCAATTATAAGAAA